GATGAGACAGTGATGATGATGCAGCAAGAGAGCCTTCATCTCCTCAGCCCGCATTAATCCATCAGTTCCCCGCTTATAACTCACCTCAGCATTTTGCAGAGTCACTGTGAGGATAGATTCTGAACCAGAGAGCCATGAGTTTAAATCCTCTGGCAAGCTGCTAAATCAAAGCGCAGGAAACGAAGGAGACATGTTGTCGCCTCTCTACATTAACTGTCAACGTGACCTTGGGGCAGACTCTTCATACCCAGCTGCTCTGACAAAAACTCTTGTGCTGGACAGACTCAGAGGACTCGGTGAAGGACTGAGTGACGGAGAGAAAATGCAACTGTCAACATTGAGGTTGAGGTTTGAGGTGACTTTGAGGAAAACCCCTGTGTGGTATGACGGCTATGATATTGAGGAGGCAACAATTACTGAGCCGCCACATGTTATTAGTAATGTTATATCAGGTTCGATTAGGAGGGACACTGATGAGCTGGATATGTTACACAGTCTGCAGAGGATGAGTGGTTTAGTATGTCAGTCTCTTACTGGAGCAATGTAAGGCTAAATATAAGTGCTGGTGAATTAATGAATGAATGAATGGATTGTTGTCACTATGTAGATATTTACATCCCTAAAACAACTCATTAACAACAACATTTTTCAAAGTTTTACCAGTATATTACCATTTACACCTGTGTTGTTAGCATGACTAAAAGAACCGAGGGACCAATGTTATATCGGACATATTGCTTTTTACAACCAAGTTGGAGCTTTATAAAGTTCTTTTTTATCATCAATAATGAAGTGAATTTTTAAGAATAATTTGTAATAAAGGCCTCAGTAAGTAAAAGCTGTTTTTGTCCTACTGAAACATTCATCCAAACATGAAATGATGCAGGTTGGTTTTTATATCATAAGAATCTTTAATCCTTTTTTCAGAAACATTTGTTTACATTAGTCTTAGTCTACAATAACATGTATTTTTTAAATCAAATTTTAAATTGTACTTTTGATCAGAGTTCACAAAGTAGCCTAATTATCATGTAAAGTTATCAAATAAAATGTACTGGATTAAAAAAGTGCAGGTGATAGTGAGAAACTGAGATCAAGCTGCCAAATTGGAGCAATCATATTTAGTTACTCACTTTTTTCAGTCAACATCAACAGTTTAAATTGATGAAAGCAACTGTTTCATTTATTTAAAAAAGTACATATGTATGTCGCCATGGTAAACTAGGATCAACAAGGCTTAACACTGTAATGATGGTTAATATTTCACATCATCATGTGGAGAAATGGGAACATTAGGCAATACCAAGAAAGATTCAAGACTGAAATATTCCCCTGCTCACCCCTCCTGTGAGTGAAAAGATGATATTGTGATACAGCATGACAAAAACTCCTATCAATGTAAACTCTTTTGTGTACATTAACAACCTCTCTCCTTCTTTATCTGAACTGTTATGCTTTCACACAGCTGTCCACGAAACAAAAAATGCCACAAAACACTACACAGTACCTTCGAATCAAGTTTGTTCAAGCCTTAGCATGCCACTTATAAAATAGATTTATAAAGCTTGGTAAAAGTGACAAGAAACAATACAGATAAGAATCCCTACAATCAACTCCATTAGCTCCACTAATAAATGAATGAATGAGGGGTGGACATGAGCGTGAGGATTAATGATATCAATAAACCAGGTCAGTGTGTTCATGCAGTCTGACCACACTATGACTCGTGCTGGTGTGATGATGTTGTTACGGTAAAGAGTGAGATGAGCAGGACGGACCCGTGAAGAAATGACAGCATTGTTAAACACTGCCTCATCGGTTACCATGGAAGCTTATTCAGAGCCGGAAAAAGCTTGAGAGGCTTATTGTGAGCCTAATCAGCGGCAGACACTCCAGGAAGACTAGCATGAGCAACAGAGGATGACGTCATGTGATGAGTAGTTTGTGAGGAAGCTTTTTCTCCTTCAGACTATAAAACTTTCATCATCATTGTAAAATATGCTGAATCACACATGTGAGTCACCTCTGCATATGTGTTTACATTTTAAATCAGTGAACAAGCTATTCTGGTTTGTTCTTTTTACTTTCTGTGTCAATCCATTGGTATGTGTGGGTCTGAATAATACCTGGACATTTAAAACATGGCTGATAAAACTTAACAGAAGGTTTGCAGGTGGGCAGCCCGGCAGATAAGTGAAAAAATAGGGAAAGAGGATCCAAAAAAGTCAAACATGACCTGGATTCCCTTTATGCTCTTTTAAAATCACCATGTGGGGAGTCACTATTGTGCCGTCTCAAGTAGCTCTGTCTGCGCGGCAGATTTTCTAATGAGGGGCTTTTGGAGGAGGATGACAGAGCGCTCTGCCCGTTCTGTCGGGGGAGGAGGGGCGTTTAAAGGAAATGTGCAATGCTCTGTCCATGGATACGCCTAATACTAGATTCCCCCTACTCAGATGCCCTGCTGGCAGCTTGGCAGCTCTATTAGGACTGAGAAGGGTGGCATTAGTCTGAAACTCTCATTATGTCAGATACACTGAAAACCTCTAATCTCAGCTCCAAATGATAGGGGGGGAATTAAACCCAACTGGGCAAGAAGGCAGCAGAGGAGTGGTGATTAGAAGTGTTCAGATGAGTCTGTTTGTACTTTATGGACAAACTTTATTTTGGAGAGCAAATAGTAAAGCTACAACAATGTTGGGGTATAAAAGCATAGTAGATTTGACATTCAATGCTCAGGACATGTATAATTCTAGGCAAAGTGGTTATATGTGTGTTAACATAGCTGGAAAAGTAACAGAAAGGACAAAAGACAAAAGTAGGACAAAAGTATCAAATGTATTAAATATCTAAGAATTTTCATTTTATGGTAAATATGCTACAAAAAACACAGGAACACACTGACAGTTAAAGACAGCTCTATCCCCAAACCCTGAACAGGATAAGCGTTGTGTAAATACAACCCAATTTGATGCAATAGAATAAGATGAAGCACAGTACGATTCAGTTTAATGAAATGTGATATAAATGAAATGAGGGAATTCACTTTTATTTCACTCCTAATCATCACTGTTTGCTAAACCCTGCCAGTGCAACAACATGTCATCTAAGCCTCAGAAGGTGAACACATAGCAGAGCTGGGGACGTTTTTAAGACCATGATACTTATTTATACTTTGCCATATGATGTAAATATTTCCCAAAAGCTGGGAAGTAAATGGACATTACAGGACTCTATAGACAAATCCAGTTTTGCCAGTTCTATGTTATATCATTTTGAGGATTGAGGATGAAGGTATTTCTAAAACGCTGTTGCTGTTGTGAGATAACAGACTCACAGTTTGTATTAGCAGGAACAAAAGCCTTATTTCCCACATGGAATGAATATATTAGTGAGCTCGGCCTACACACTGTCTCTGTGGAGAAACCAGAACAGGATTAAAAGACCAAAGCTCATAGGAAGGTCTATACTAATGATGTTACAGGAAGTGATGGATTTATGTCATATTTTTGTGGTCGATGTGTCCATATGAAGGCTGCTACTTTTACAGATACAGCAGAGAAATTGTCATCTGCTCTATTTCCAAGCCATGATGTATTAGTGGTGGTTAGAAGTTGTGAAAGCATCGTTAGGATGGGAGGGTTGTCAGCTTCAGCTTGGAAAACGACACATCACTGCCATCTGCTGCACCTTTACTACATTACAACATTTATTCTGACCTTTTGCTTTCACTTATTAAAGGGATAGTTCGAAATTAATTTGCATGGACGTTTGCAAAAACTTTAACCATCACAAAAACTCCCTTGTTGCTGTGCTTGTGAAAGCATTTTGTACACAATGTGCATATTGTGTTTTTAAATATTTTTAATGGAAATATTATTTCTGTAAGCAAGTATCAGCATCACTCTGGGCTACGGCATGTCATTTCTAAGCCTGCAATTTATGAAAATAATTGAAGTACGTTTGACCCTACAGGTGAACTTCGCTGTTTTTTTTTTTTTTTTTTTTAAATAACTATTTGATTTCCATCTCCTGCTTGCTTCAGACCTTTCCATTTTTTCTCTTTTTTTTTCCTGACTGCTCTGCAGAAACACGTTTGTTCCAAAAACTTTGATGACTTTAAACCTTATAGAAGCACATTGTTTTCACAAGTTTTACTCGACCTGATGCTGCTGTCTTCGAGGAGCGTAAACAAGCCCGGGTTCCTAGTTTGGCCTTCAAAATAAAAGCACAGACTTCAGGCAGACTAGAAAGTGAGTATAAAGCCGCTCAATGAGCCAGCTTCTGTCCATAAATGAGGATTATATTCTAAAACAATTAGCGTTTCTAACTTACTGTGCATGTTATCAAAACAAAAAACTGACCTCCAGAGAAAAGTTTTTGATTTCATTTAAACAAAACTTTATTTAAAAACAGAGTCAAGTTGACAAGTTTTACCAAACACAATCACGGTATTTCACTGTCAGAGAGTTATTGACTCAGACAAAATATGTGAAAAGTTAGTTATATGTGTAATACAAATGCAAAAAGACATAGAGCAGAGAGAGGAATAAAGCATGACAGAAAAATGAACAAAATAAAGACAAAGCAATATGAGCAAAATAGAATATGTGCATCCAAAAAGATGACATTTAAGACAAGCTTTGTGTACAGAGTGAGTTTGGTGGAGGTAGAGATGAAAAAACAGCTGGGGAAAAATATTGAAGGAAAAAAAACCCAGTGGACAAAAAGCTCTCTACATGCTGTCACAGTTCCAGCCTCCATTTAACAAAGTTTAAGCCATAAATGAAGCTCAGATTAAACATTTAGTTTTACAAATATAATGAGAAATCAAATTCAGTACAACACAAAAACCACCTGGTTACAATTGTAAGAAGACTCTACTAGCTGTAGATCTTACAGGTTTGCACCAAAGAAACTCAAATGTTTGCAAGTTTAACAACACATCATCTGGTCAAACAGATGAATCATTTATTATAGATTAATCAGTACAGAACTATCCTCTATGACCCTTGTGTCACAGACAGGTCATCCATCTTCATCACTGGGTCCTCAGTCGAGACTCCAGTATCCTCCTGTAAATGAAGAAAACTGTCATGAGTGAATACTCTGCCTCGTTTTCTGTCAGTCAGAAAAGGTCTCAGCGATAATCCTATAATGTCAATAATACTGATAATGTCAGCGATATAAAGGTGGAGGAGATCTATAAGTGACAGTGACATAGCAAAGCTTGCACTCTTCATGGGTTGTGGAGGTTCATCTGTGCCCATCGAGTAAAAACATCCAACTATCATCATCTTAACGGACTCATCTGTTAGAAGGATTTTAGAAAGCTGCTCATGTGTGCTCCTCAAAGTAGAGCCTGAAAGAGAAAGGCGCACTCACCATGTCCTGAGTAAGGGTTTTCTGGACGAGGTTGAAGGTCTACGGGCTCACAGTGAGACAGGAAGTCCGCCTGCAGGGTGGTGACTACAGAAGGCAGACAGGGATCAGATCCAGTTAGTGGACTGTTAACATCAATTTATCACCATAAAACTTTGACTGAAACAAGCAAGACCACTCGCAAAGATTGACTCACCTCTAATCAGGGGACCAAGTCTTTGTCTTCATTCTTCAGCTGGGTCCTGGAGCAAGAGGGGGTCATCGACGTCTCGGTGTAGTCCTAAAACAAAAGGACAAATGTAGTCTTTGGACCGGCACAGTCTTTAACCTATAAGTGAATCATTCTCTGTTTTATGTACCGGTTCCTTGGGGATGGCACCCACGACATCTGGTAGAGTCCAATGGTGTCAAGGGGTAGGTTTCTGTGCTGGTGCAGACTTCAGTTAAGGGGTACAGAATGAAGAAGCTCTGTCCCTCAAAGTGGGCAAACCACTGGTGTTTGGGAGAGATTAAAGTTGGCAGAGATTAGAAAATCTGGATGCATCAGATAAAACCAGGTTCCTTTTGTAGGTGGTGATATCTGTACGCCATGCTCACCTGTAACCCAGTGTGCAGAGGCTCGGAGTCCAGCAGGTGATGGGGTCTGCCAGGGTCTTCTTGGATGTAGACTGTAACAACACAAGAAAGATGAGTCACTACATTGGAAACAGACTTAAAAGATTCAACAGACAGATTTAAAATCAAGTTTCTCTTGGGCATCTACAAACCCCCAGAAAGGCTAGAGTTTTTGGACCTCCGGTGAAGACAAATACAAGAACTCTCAGATAAAAATATGATATCAGAATCATTAAAAGAGAACTTCAGATACCTTCAGTTTGACGGTGACTGTTAAAAACTTCCCAGTCTGGATGGAGCGTCAGATCCTCCCTGGTGGAACCCTGTGGTGGTCAGCACATCCAACGCCATGGCTCGACACCTCCGTCATGTTTAGGGGAAAAGCAGAGACATACATGTGCAGCCAAAGGGAGGCATAAAAACCTCGTACAGAATAACAGGACACAAAAAACCACAAGTACAGATCTCAGATTTTCACAGAGACTGGAGGGTCAAAAAGAAACAAAACAACAAAAAAAAAGAAAACCCCACAAAAAAAAAAAAAGAAAACAAACATCTTAGATTTTTACAGAGACTGGAGGGTCAAAAAGACAGAAACAAACAAACAAACAAAAAACAAACTCAAAAAAAACCAAACAAAATTACATTTTATGATAACAGTTCATTGTCCCCCTCATGTTAGTTGAAGCTGTAGAGGAGACGGTGAGGCCTGAAGTTGTAGTTGATGTTGAGGTTGTCCTTGTTGAGTTGGTTTCCTTTTGGAGAACTGAGTGAACTTTGCTGATTTGTTGTTTCCTTAAGAGTTGTTGTCTTGCTTTTTGCGTTTTTTTTTTTAAATTTTTTTATTGTGGGCTCAGCAAGTATTTGGTAAAACTTGCAACTGACATTTTTGCAGTTTTTCGTGTCAACCAAGTTTAATAAAAACAGAAATAACCTTTTTAAAGTCATAAAACCCTTTTAACCTTGAGTGATGCTGAACTATTCTCCGTTTGGTTGTGAATTTTCTTTTTTGGTTTGATTTTGATTTAGTGTTTTCAGCATTTCTTGATTTTAGACTGTTGTTAAGCTTTTGAGTTAAAACCACCTTTTGCACCTTGTTGGTGGTTTTCCCTTTTGTCATTGAAAGCACCATCTAAACCTTGTATTACCATTGCGTCCCTGTGGGCACCATTTAAACCTTGTTGATTTGCCCTTTTGTCATTGAAAGCACCATTTAAACCTTGTTGTTGGGTCCTTGAAAGCACCATTTAAACCTTGTTTGTGTTACCATCATGTCCCTGAAAGCGCCTCATGAACCTTGTTGTCTGTTTCCATATTGTCTTTGAACGCATCGTTGTGAACCTTGTTAGTTTGTGGTTGTGCAGCTGAAAACACCTTTTAAACCTTGTTTTTGGTTTGTTGTGTTTTTGATCATTGAACCTTGTGTTGTTGCATCTTTGCATCAGAGTATTGTGACTGTTTCAGCTGTTGTGTTTCAATAGAGACATTCACCTACTGGTTTTTGAAGAGAGGTTATAGTCACAACATTGGAAACACTGACCCAGACTTACGTTATCAACATAAAAACAGGCAAAGCTCAAGTGGGCCTTAACTTTGGGAGAACAGCTGAGGCACACCCACGTCACATTGCGCCTTTGTGAAAATGATTTAATAACCAGAGAAAAGTTGTTTCTGGAGTTGAAGCATTCAGACTTTTGGGTGACAATAGAACAGTGTGTTAAGTGGTGTTCCCTGTCTCATCTTACCTGCAGCACAAGGATGCCTGACTTCGTCTCTTTAGAGGTGATCTAGATTCTTCCTGAAGATGTTGGTGGTTGCCAGGTTCAACACTGAAGATGCTCACTTCTGTGATGGTTGGGGAAAAGGAGAGAGACACACATACAAATGCAGAAAATACTCGACTTAAAAACAGTGAAGGTGAGGTGCAGCATTAGAAAATCTGTTTGAAACTGAATATGGATGAAGTTATCAGAATGCAGGACCTGGTTTCTTACATGCTTTCTTGTGGTTACTTTGGTGAAAACATAACGTCAAAAAGTTCATCTTACCTTCAACAAGATGACCACCCTTGGATTTCCCAGACGGAACAGGAAGGCGGCACTTTGAGTTTCTGCAGCAACAGTTCCTCCAGGAAAAGAGTGGTCACCTCGTCAGACCTGCTTATGTTCGGAGGAAAGCAGAGACATACAAATGCACCCAAAGAAACATGGCAAAACATACAGAAAATAAATAAATAAAAAAAAAAAAAAAAAAAAAAAAGTACAACACATGCAGATCATGACAAGCACAATTCAGGATTCCATTTCAGAGATTCAAAAGGTTCACACAAATACAAAGAATAAATAAAAATTAAAAAAAAACTACAGTTTTAACAAAAACAGTTGGAGGATCTACACAGTTTGTTTATTGTCCTCGTTCTGTTTAGTGTTGACAGTTACATCTGATAGAAACAATGTGCAAACGTTGCTGTCTTGTCGTTGTTTCCGTTGGATCCTTTGGAAGCACTTTGACGGTTGTTGCGATGTTGGTGGTTTTGAAACTTAGTTTTGGTTGATGGTGATTTTGCTGAAGTTGCTTTGACAGACCTTTTGAGAGCAGACTTTTAACATACCACCTTTGCTTGTTTAAGAACCAGTTTTTTTAAGAACCTTTTTAGACCTTGTATTTTGGGTTTAAGATGAAGTCCTTGGAAGCAACTTTTAAAACTTTTTTGGGGTTTGAGGTAAAGTATTTGAAAGCACCTTTTGAAGCTTTTTTGGTTTGAGACTAAGGCTTTGAAAACACCTTAAAAAATTTTTTTTTAAATTAAATCTTTGAAAGCACATTTCAAACCTTTTTGTTTGTTTGCGATCAATCCTTGAAAAGCAACTTTCGAGCCCTTTTTGGTTTGAGTACAAGTCTTTGAAAGCAACTTCTTTTGAAGCCTTTTTTTGAGAACAAGTCTTTGAAAGCACCTTTCAGAACCTTTTTTCTGGGTTTGAGATAAAGTCTTTGAAAGCACCTTTTAAACCCTTTTGTTTGAGAACAAGTCTTTGAAGCACCTTTTGAACCTTTTTTGTTTGAGAACAAGTCTTTGAAAGCACCTTTGGAACCATGTTTCTGGGTTTGAGATCACGTCTTTTAAAGCACCTTATGAGAACCTTATTTTTGGTTTGAGATCAAGTTTTTTAAAGCACCTTTGGACCTTGTATTTGGTTTGAGAAAGATTTTGAAAGCACCTTTCAAGCCTTTTTTGGTTTGAGATCAAGATTTTGAAAGCACCTTTTCAAGCCTTTTTTGGTTTGAGATAAAGATTTTTAAAGCACCTTTCAAGCCTTTTTTGGTTTGAGATCAAGTTTTTCAAATGCACCTTTTTATAATTTTTTTTTTGTTTTGAAATCATACCTTGGAAAGCACCTTCTGAACCATGTTTCTGAGTTTAAGAACAAGTCTTTTGAAAGCACCTTTTTTAAACCCTTTGTCTGAGAACAAGTCTTTTGAAAGCACCTTCTGAACCATGTTTCTAGGTTGAGAACAAGTCTTTGAAAGCACCTTTTGAACCATGTTTCTGGGTTGAGAACAAGTCTTTGAAAGCACCTTTTGAACCATGTTTCTGGGTTGAGAACAAGTCTTTGAAAGCACATTTTGAACCCTTTTTTTTTTGAGAACAAGTCTTTGAAAGCACCTTTGGAACCTTGTTTTTTGGTATGAAATCAAGTCTTTTAAAAGCACCTTAAGAACCTATTTTTGGGTTTGGATCAAGTCATGAAAGCACCTTTTGAACCATGTTTCTCGATTTGAGATCAAGTTTTGGAAAACACCCCTCAAACCTCTGAGTTTGAAATCAAGATGATGACATCTAAAAACAAGGCATTCACCTACCCTCAGAAAGATGACCAACCTTACAGCAGAAGCCATGTCAATGTTGTCACGCTGTTCTTGAAGTTCTCGTTGTCCTTCTTGTAGTTCCTCTGGATCTGCTGGTCTTAATTCTTCAGGTTTTTGCAGTTTTAACATTAGCATGATCCTGATACTATGAAAGAATAGGAGTTTAACTGGACATATCAATAAAGCACAGTCGAATACTGTGCACTTGACATGTTTAGCTGGGTTCATTTTCAGCATAGTTATCCTTACAGTTTTGACAGCTGTTACTACCACTGCATCAAAGTTAACATTACTGCTTTTTCGTTTTCATGTCACTCCAGAGTAAAACAAACATTTTATCATTAGGGTTTTTTTGGAGTGTGATCATCATATTGAAGTCAAATGTAAAAGGAAAAAAAAAACAGACCCAGTCCTGTTCAAAGGTTTGGGCGTTGACACACAGGGTCCACATCAGGTCTTCTTGTACTCCTTCAGTTCCTGTGAATGATCTACTTGTTCTTGGTGATAGTGCTCCTGAGAAAAAACTTTTGATTGAGTAGAGGCAATTTATTTTTAGGCTTGAAGGTGCTCTTGTTAGATTAGGTGCTTTTGTCAAATTAAAAAAGGTGCTTTTGACATACCTTTTGAGACCAGACCTTTTAACATACAATCTTTGCTTGTTCAAGAACCAGTTTTTGAAAGAAACCTTTTAAACCTCATTCTTTGTTTTTAAGATCAAGTCTTTGGAAGCAACTTTTACAAATCTTTGTAGAGCTTGAAATCAAGTCTTTGAAAACACGTTGAGAACCTATTTCTGGGTTTGGATCAAGTCATGAAAAGCAACCTTTTGAACCTTGTTTCTGGATTTGAGATCAAGTTTTGGAAAACACCCCTCAAACCTTTTTTTTTTTTTTTTGAGTTTTAAATAAAGATGATCACATCCACAAACAAGGAGATGTTCACCTACCCTCAGAAAGATGACCAACCTTACAGCAAAAGCCATGTCAACATGGTCATGCTGTTCTTGAAGTTCTTGTTGTCCTTCTTGTAGTTCCTCTGGATCTTCTTGTGTTAACTTTTGAGGTTTTTGCATTTTAACATTAGCATGATCCTAATACTATTCAAGAATTGAAGATTAGCTGGACAAATCAATAAAGCACAGTCGAATACTGTGCACTTGACAAGTTTAGCTGGGTTCATTTTCAGCATAGTTATCCTTACAGTTTTGACAGCGGTTACTGCCACTGCATCAAAGTTAACATTACTGCTTTTTCGTTTCGATGTCACTCCAGAGTAAAACAAACATTATATCATTAGGGGTTTTTTTGGAGTGTGATCATCATATTGAAGTCAAATGTAAGAAGAAAAAAAACAGACCCTCTTCAGAGATTTTCTTCTACCTGGGTAACAGCCACTGCAGCTCCTGTTTCCATCATTAACATTACTGGGTTTTCATTTTTGTTGTCATTCATTTTCAGAGTGTCAAAATAAAGCACAGCAAAATA